ACAGGCATATTAAATTTGAAGAATACATATCTAAAAACAATTACAACTGCCATAATGCTCAGTTCAGCAGAAAATAAAAGTGTTTACAAAGAAAAGTTACAAAAGAGAAGTAGGACAAAGAACCTGCTATTTCTGTAGCGCTGAGCCCATATGTGGAAAAAAAATGTGGAAAATCCTCCACATTTCTGGCTGAATGCCAAACTAAACATTTGTCAACCCATGCATAGCAGAGCTACGTATAATTTGATTATTTACATTAGTGTAAGCAGGTGCGGCCCCAATTCAAGTCAGGACCATTGTGCTCTGGAAAGGGGTAATTTAACTGTTCCCCCATCCTATTTCCATCCTGAAACACCCTGTTCACCCCACTGGCCATGTTACAAAAGAGGAGGACAGAACACATCCTTTGATTCCAATGAAGATTTTTTTTTCCCTTTTTGACACAAGCTCAGTTCGAAGGTGAAAGTTCAGGATGAGCACAGGAAGAAGGAAAGGCTTAAATTCCACCCCCACCCCCTGCCCACCCCCGGAGTACCGCATTTCCAACCCAAACTGGGGCTGTGCATTGCTTACACTAAAGTGAATAATCCACTCACTTGACTCAGCTATGTGTGATCTGACAAACACTTAGTGAACATGAAACAAAAAGACATCCAAATGTGCATAAGCTATAAATATTAAAAGCCTAAATAACTACGGAACGCTTTCTTCCTCTCTCCAAAGGCTGCAAAGTAGAGCTAAATAAGAAACTCCCTAACAAGCCTTATATATATATATACACACACACACACACACACACACACACACACTCTCTTCCTGTTACTCTTTAGAAATGCCTTAAATTCTCTATATATTTAGTAAGACTTTTTTCACTTCTTTAACATGTCCCCTGTTGCTCCTCAGGATAATGCACCAGTGATAGATTGCAACAACCATATAGCACTGCAAAGCAAGAGGCTGGCCAAACAACTATTAAATCTTAGGAAGAACACTTCTTGAAAACCATTTTACAAACTCTGACCCACGATCCTCCCATGCCGTTCATCCCCCCAGAAGCCTCCCTGCAACCTTCTTCTGGTCTATCTCCTTTTTGGCGATGCATCTCAATTGTGAGCACGTGACACAAGTGTACTGCCCCTATTCACAGATGAAAAATGAGCAGACCGTGCGGGCCTACAATTCCCTCCTGAAGTTGTGGGGCCCTTCCAAGTTTCTGAGAATGTGGCAGGGGAAAAGAGTGACGAAAGCTTCTTCTGGAAGTGACTATGTCCCTAGGGAGTTGCTCTGTAGATACACATTAGGCAGCTAAATATCTCCCACTCTTGCATGGACATCACTACCACCCAGCTGTTGAAAATGCAGCATGAATAAGCACGGGTGCCTGCCATTTCCACTGCAACAAACAATGTATGGATGCTACATCTCTGGGTACCTCAACCTACAGGTGTATATTCTGGGTGGTTCACCCCCAATAACCCAGCATTCTGAACTCAGACATTATGATGAACCTATTTAGCCTTACCTGGCAGCAGTGGGACTGGATGGGCAGCTGGGAACCAGCATGGTCCTTCAATCGGGTTTTATCTTCAACAACCCACAATTCGTTATATTTGCTAACCATGGGTTGTTGCAATACACAAACGAGACCTACATACTGTAGCAATTTCCACCATTTATATACCATATGAAGAAGTACTCCTTGATCATATCCCTTTATTTTATTTAAAGCTCACATTTTTCCTGACAGCCAAGGCAGCTTACACACACAGTTCTCCCTCTTTTCTCCATTTTATCCTCACCCCACCACAACCTATGAGGTCGGGACTGACCTAAAGCTACCCAATGAACTTCATGGCTGAGTGAGGGCTAGAACCAGGTTCTCCCAGTCCCAGTCCCACTCCAACCCCTACACCACTCAGCTTCTCTTCCTTCTGTCACCATCCAGCTTCACCGGATGACCCCAGGATGTAGCATTAGGAGAATTCTACCATTATTCATTTTCTCCAAACTGTGTGTAAGTTTATCTGTTTTAAGCACGTTCCCCCTGCTGGCCCTTCTTCTAAGTCACGGAGCCCCGGAGGTTGCAAGCATCCCTTCAGAGACATGGTGCTTTAGTCTCTTGATCATCGGGACTATCCTTCCTGCAACTTGAATCCCATTTGGCAGCAGGCTCAACCCCCTTCATTTTCTGCCTCACACAACTTGGCACCTCCCTGCTTCTTGAAATTTATTTCAAAGCATGCTCTTTCAAATGAAAAAGCTGGGAATGTTGGGAATCCATGGGAATAAACTCAAAAGAGGTATTTTCTCTTTCGGGATGAGCAAAATACTTCTTAAGTGCACCCAAACAAGAGCCGCTTTGTTTATCCTTGTGCTCAGCGCAAGAGTGCTGCTTGCTCATTACATGGATTATTAAGCAAGGATTCCTGTCTTGAAGGGTTGTGTGAATGCAGCCATTAAGCCAGGATGAGAGTGCTGAAATGAGGAAAGGTGCTGTCTCTGCTTTGAGTGACAGATCTCGCTTTTAAAAAAGTTACATACACTTCTCTCCTTCAGTTTGAGTGAGCAGAGTATCAAAAAGAGCACAGAAGGCTTTTGAGTAGAATAAGACGGAAAAGCTATACGGCTGGGGGGGGCGGGGGGGAACCATTAAAAAGCCATAATATACAGTGGAGTTGCTCTCCATTGTGTGGTGTGTCTCCAAAGCTATATTCAGTAACCGAAACCAGTCCCGCAGTCCCAGCGTGCAAGACTTTCATTATGTTCTTTTATGATCTTCCTGTTTGCATTAGCACCAGTAAAGTGATGTAGAACTTCAATAAATGGGGAATAACCATGCCTCACTTTTTCATTTTGTGCCCTGGCCCAAATCAACAACATTCCCCCTCTGCCCTCCCCCAGTGTCCCCCCAATAAAAAAGTCCACTAAGCTAAATCATTCTGCCAGATGTTTTAAATTAGCAGGGTCTCTCTCACACACAGATACCGCCGCGTTCTCTCTCTGTTTGCACCTCGGAAAGCATGGCTTGCATTTCAGGACGGAACAGCACACATACTGGCTCAGTCCAGCCCATCCCTGCTCCCTGAGTGGCCGAAATACAACACACCTCTCTTCCCTCTTCCTTGGGTTTGATCCATGCACCTTTATGCATAACACTGAGGTCCGCTGTGAGAATTATTTGCAGGGCTACATGCAGTCTGCAGTCCTGCCACCTCCAACAAACTCACCACTGGGTAAACTGCAGAATTATTTCTGCTAAAGATGCAAAGAGCAAGTCTGGAGTCCTTAAGCCTCTATTACAGAAGCTTGGACATGCATGAAAAATGCCGACTGAAACGTTTGTGGCCAAGGCAGCTGAACCGTCGGGAGGCAGGGTCTCTGCAGAGCTCTGTTCCTCATCCCTAAAGGCCTTACAACCTTGCGTAAGTTATGGGCACACAACATGAGAAGGGTCCTGCCAGACCAGCCATTACATCCAGCCATTAGAACCCCATCAGCCCCAGCTAGCATGATCAGTAGTGCAGGGTGACAGTAACTGCAAGGAAGCATGTTTGATCCAGAGGTAAGCAACCTAATTACAATTCCTGTAATTCCTAACCATTGGCCATTTTGGCTGGGGCTGATGGAAGTTGTAGTCCAAAACATCTGGAAGGCATCTGATTACCTGCCCCTGGATTAGTTCAACATCCCATAGAAGCCAAGGAGCATGAACATCGCTTGCTTGCCTCCAGATGTTTCTCCCTCCTAACATCTCTGAACCTGGCAGTTCCATACAATCATTATGTCTGGAGGTTGTTTAATTCCCCTTAAATGCCTGGCCATCAGAATATGTCCCAAAGGATTCCACAAATAAATTATGTACTGGGCTAATAAATACTTCCTTTTTTCCAGATTAGATCCACCGCCAGTCAATCCCATTGGGCAATCTTTCATGGTAGCAATGCAAAATAATAAGGAAAACCTCTCCCTGCTCCATACCGGACATCACGTTATAAACCTCTATTGCTCATTGACTGCTATGCTGAATAGTTGCAAGCCCTTTAACTTATAGGGAAGGATTCAGCTTTTGTTTGTTTGACTGGTTCCTTAGAAGGGAAGCCTGGATGGATCTATAGGTTTTTTGCTTTCATTTTTAACAGAATTGAAAGCACCCAACAGAAATCCCTCACAACAACCCTTGAGGTAGCTCAGAGTTCCAGAAAGTCAGGGCCCTTACATTCCACACTGCAGAGTAAGTCCATCCATCTTTGTTTACCTTGGAAGCAAATCACAGTCAATGGGATTTACTCCATGCAACTGAGCTTAGGCTGGCAGCCTAGGGTCCATGTTGACCATTTCTTGGTATCTTTTTAAAAAGCAGCACATTTAAAAAACAGCAAGTTTAGATGCTACTTTTCATCCCTATTCATATTCCCTATTCACCTGGACATACAGAGTAATGAACTCTTGGAACTGAAGATCCTTCTCAAAAGGAAAAAAAAACTCTCCCTTATTTTACATCATTTTCTGAAGGCATTGTAAACTAGCAGGACCTGAATGTTCTTAACAATTTTTCTTCATTTCAAAGTCTTTTCACATTATCAGAAACGCCAGCCCTAGGTCTTTACCAATGAACCAATCATCCATTTATCAGTGGTGACATTCCACTTTTTCCCACATCTCCCAAAGCATAGAAATACACAAACTCACAATGTTGAGACTGAAGTGGAAAAATTCCCATCAAAGGTCACTTTTACATCATTATATCAGAATGAAGGTACAACAGAGCCCATTGCAGGAAACTTCAAAACCACTATAGCTGAAAAAGTCATAACCCAATTCAATGCACCCACCAGAAGAAAGAATGGTTCTCAGGAGGATAAGCGTATATTAGTCCTTGTATGTAATGGGTTTTGTCAGCCATATGGAACTGATCGAGAAACGGTGTTGCAATGGATAGGTTGGGAAGTAAAGACTGAAATGTGACCATACACGAAACAGTTTCAGGACAGAATGCTCACCATCTTTACCTGATTGCGTCACTGATGAGTCCCAGTTCAATGGAAAATCCGACGACTCGCCCTCTTCAACTGGGGAAAAAAAAGAATGCGTGAACTTCAAGGGCAGCAAACAGGAGTAAAGTGGCTGTGTTCTTCATAACAGCTAACACTCCAGGAAACCCCAGAGTAATCAACAGAGTGTTGTTTTCACCTTCAGAATGCTTGAAATGACTTTTGGTATCTGCGCACAGACAAAAAACAGACTGCCCACCCATGTCATGAATAATACTGGTTTGCAGCGTTTTCCATATGCAAAATCTACTTTACAATCCTTATCAGTACATTGTTCTGCACAATCAGCCAGCAAGCCAGACCATCAAACCTTCCCTTTTTGCTCTAGGAAAACTGAGGCTGGATGAAGCAGGAGTCTTCATCAATATTCTTCATCTTTTATATTTTTTTAATTTATTTTATATTGTTAATTTTAATTTTATATTGTTATTTTTGTATTTTATTGTATTTTATTGTGTTGCAAGCCGCCCCGAGGCTTCGGCAAGGGGTGGCATAGAAATGTTTTAATTAATAAATAAATAATAAATATTCTACTCCATTTGGCCAAATAAGTCTTTGCATGCACTCTGGGATGGAAAATTTTCCATTTCAGCTTCCTGTTTTGTGTGCTTACTAACTTCAGTTTTGAGGAAGAAGCATGTCACATGGTTTATACTACATTGCAATGTTTTTGTAAAATTAAACAAGTTTGACTTGCATAGATGCAAAATTATGAGTGTATTTTTTTACAATATGCTAGCAACAGAAGCACACACTGCCTTGGATTCTTTTACACATTAGATCAGGATAGAAACAGCCTGCAAAAGGGTTCAGGGTCATTTGGGAGCATCTCCTAGAAGGTGAAAAGACCCTTCTGAAACCATGGCGAGCCACTGACCAGTCCATACTGAGCAATACGGACCACGATCCGACTCTGTATAAGGCAGCTATCCAAGGAGAAATCTACATTTCTACTATATTGGTCCCCAAAGTCAAAGCAACCAGTAGCCAAAATATAAGTTTTTAGCTCCATCTTTCTGCCAGTAAGTATAGCAGAAGCATTACTATATTCCAAGTGCCAAATCCAACCTGGTTGTATAGGTTATAATATACGGACAACACTCCCGTTCTTATCGGATGCTTGGTTGAAATGTGATTCTACAAACAGGCTGCTGTGCAATTTTAAGTTCATTCACACACACAATTTCAACTGGATATAATGGATGTTCCTTGAACAGACCTTAAAGCAGTTTATGATCCTTAGATTAAATTTTTATTTTCTGCAAGTCTGCTGCCCCCTTTCCCCATGGGTCTCAAGCAACCTCGTTGCTAGCCTACCAAACTGATGAAAGGGGGGTTGAAAAGAAATTGGAAAAAAGTAACCGCCTTTTTAATATGAATGATAAATGTCCGAAGTACTCCAATCAATACTCAACTACTGCAATTTATGGACTTTTGATGGAAAGGTATATTTATGACAGATCTAGCACACAATTTCACATCTTTAATGAAACCAATGCTTAACCTTTAACACTGGAAATGCTAGTCTATCATTTCTTCATTTTTAATAAAAAACAGAAACACAAAACTGCACTGGGAAGGGGTAGGAGTATGTGACAAATTCTACAATTTAGAACTACGATGACCAAAAAACCTAAGGAATGTAATGAAATGCTTTAAAAAAGATTTCCCACTCAGTTGTTTGCTATCCACCATTGTTTCTTCTGTTGAAGTTCAAAAGGAACTATAACCCCACAATTCTGGCTGAAAGATACTATTGTTGCATCTGAACACAGAAACATGCATGTTTCAGGATGTAACAGTTTGGTTTACAATATCCTCAACAGACTCTCTGCTCTGAGACAACTCTGGGTAATACTTAAGAGACAAGATATCACATAGGATGAATGCCCAAGTACACAAGAAGCTGTCTTATTTTTGGATGTCTCCCCTTCATTGGCAAGTTGTTAAGCCCTCAAAGCCCTGAAGTATTTATTTGACTTACTTATAATACTTATACGCTGCTGAATAGAAAAAGAAATCTCGCAGAGTTTACATTAAAAATGTTTGATCTCTGCCAAAAGGCTACACCAACATAAAAATAATGTGACAATACTAACTCAAAGGTTATTCAAAATAATAAATTTAAACAAGAAATATTAAAATAGAATAACTCCATTAGTCATTGTCCCTTGGAAGCCAGCAAAAGCCTGTGTAACCAGACGTTTGTAAACTTGTCACAGTTTCTGTTCATTAGAAGGAATTAAGTGCTAGCATCCAACATCTATGAGCAACAAAGAGCAGTTTGCATTAGCAGTGCGACACTGTATTTCTTGAGCTTTTGCTCCGTGCAAAAAGCTAGATTACTTTATTAGAATATCTGAAATAAAGTGACTAATATCCTGACAGACTCCACCCCGCGTCTGATGTATGTTGGCTTCCACCCTAAGCATACGGGAAACAGAATTTTCAGTTATAACCTTACAATGGACAAGGAGCATGCATGGAAAATCAAAAAGCAACCTTGCTTATCTCAATTCTAAAGTCATTCCAGATATCGCTCTTCTTGACCAGACCATCTGTCCATTGCGAACGGCTAATTCATGTTACCAGAGTGGTATGGGAACCTATAACTAGGCCAACTAACGGGTTGTTGTTGGGGGTTTTTCCCAGTGCCGACACTTCAGGCTCTGAGGACATGGACAACACTCGCATGGGAAGCCCTCTCGCCACTTGCCAAACCTATGCAATTCCTTCCTGCAGACATTAGCACAACAGCTGTAAAATCAGATTTAAATCTTCAGCTGCAAAGAAGCAGTCCACACTGATGCATTTTCGTTTTGCCAGGAATTCAGAAGTGACTGAAACAAGCAGTGAATCTAAAAAGTGAAGTTTGGCAAACTTTGATTGGCAATAAACAGAAAGCCCCTTGGCTTAGCAGCCATTGGCATAAAACAAGCGGAGTAAACCAGGACGGGCTTCTAACAGAATGAAACCACTACTACTACTAATTATCGTGAACATACTAGTGGCAAGAAACCTCTGTGAAAAAGGAAATTTATTGGGCTCACACTGCTGCAAGGCAGCATCTCCCAGCCAACCCTCGTGGTCCCATTTGCACCCAAGGCTCTCTGCATCCAAAGCTGGCAATCAACCTGTATGACCCTTTGTCTGCACCTAACTGCTGTAAGAACACAAGGAATAAATTAATCCTTAGCCTGCTCCCTTATTCCGTGTGAGCTCTTGCCATCACTTTCCCAGAAGATCAGCTGACACTAAGATTGTTCCATTGCCATTCTACTTCATACCTTCCAATAAAAACAATCCATCTTTCACAGAATCACTCAAGAGAAAAACAGCAACATCTGCCCTTTCCAGGAGAGATATCTGAGCAGGATGAGGTAGTTTTCCAATCCCAGTGACCAGTGTCCAGATTTGTCTCCAAAAAAATATAGGATGTGCTGGGAACAAGTAAGTGGATGGGCACAGAGAGGAAGCAGCTCACCTGATTTGGACTACCTAAGGCAGGTGCTGTCGATGAAGAAGCACTTACTTGAGATGCCAGTGCTAAAAGAACAGGCAGCCTATGTTGAGCCCAAATCAGATTTTTTTTTAAATTGTAGCAGTGACTGTCCTTTCCCTGACAATATTCATTGCACATGAGGCCTTGCAGGTATATTAAGAGATTTTAAGAAAGTATGTCAAGATCTCAATTTCTAAGGCCGCAGCTGCTTGCAGTTTGATACTTCCATAAGACAGACAACAAAATAACTCAGGAGCTTTGTGCTCACAGAAATGCACCGGACTCGCTGCACTTAACCGAAACATTTGCAGATATTTAATGAAAGGAAATCTGTTAGAAGGCACCATACTGAGTTATCATATCTGACCATTTGGAAACTCTCCTCTGTATGCTTCTGCCTCTGAAGACTTCCCTGTGTTGGCACCAAACCACTGGGAAATTCTCTCCTCAAACATGTTCCCCAGTATAATATGAGGCACATTCCCCTGCTGTGCCCCTGGGCAAAACCTGCCCTGCCTTCCCATGCATTGATACAGATCCCATGCATCTGATGCTATTTAAGGTGCTTTACAATTAATGTTCCCTGGTGTATGTATTTGCTGACTGTTTTTACTCTTGAAGTTATCTCGTTGCTTTTCAGCTCTTCTACGGTATTGCTTTTATTCATTGCTGTAATTCTCAGGAACACAGAAGAGGCCTTCCACTGATTCAGACTATTGATTCATGTGGTTTAGTATCGTCTACACCAAGAGTGAGGAGACTCTTTCAGCCTGAGACCAAAATTAATTCCAGAGAAACTTTGGGGGCCACATTCCCCTGGTGAACAGAACCAGAAGCAAAGGGAGTGTGGCAAAATCTATAAAAATTACCAACACATGGAAGCTTAAAGCTCTCCCAATAACCACGCTTCTCTACTGGGAGGAAATGACACAAAGCTGGAAAAATGCCAAATAATCAGTGGTTTGGGCAGGACTTTTTTTGTCATAGAATGCACCGGAACAGGATTCTGGCACCGTTTTTTCCAATGAATTTTACGAAGTGATTTTGAACGGAGAAGCAGATCAGCAGCAAACATCATTAACATAATGCCTGTGGGCTGCTTTTGTGTCTGCTATCTGATAGTGAGATAGTGAGGGTGCTGCTTGGCTTGGGACGCTGCTCGGCTTGGGATTGGTGTGTGTGGTCGCGCACTGAGTGCTTACTGCCAGCGGCGACGTGAGTTCCGGCACTTTTTTTTTTTTTTAACAAAAAAAGCACTGGGTTTGGGGCAAGGGGATGGGGACAGGAAAGGTGGCAGGGGTTTCTGAGGAAGTCTCAAAGCCTGGATTTGGCCCCTGGGCCTCCTGATGTTTTCTGCTTCTCCTCTCTGGGGATTCAGACCTTCTTTTCTGAGTAGCTGCAGCCCTTTCCTTGTGGGCATTCACATTAAGTATGAACATAAATCTGATCAATTAGAGCTGTCCCACAGCGATGCTGGTTTTCACCAGACTGCTAAGACCTAGTTTCCTTGGGTCCA